AAAACATATAGGCCCATTCTATTGACAACTGCTTTGATGGCTGAGTGGAGGGTGCATGCAAATAGGGACTTGATTCTGGAAAAATCGATCAATGTGGAGGAATTGGCCGAGAAGTGCAACATCATTCCGATTTTGCGGGATCAACATCTCTTTTCATCTCTACAGCACATTGGGCCCTACTTAGCTTGGTTGACCGCTGAGTTTTACACAAACCTCACCATGGATTACATTCACTGAAGGGTCCACACATTTTCAGCAGGTGTTTATTTGAGACAAGTGGTACCCTTTTGGCCCTGCAGAGATAAATGAATATTTGGGCAGACACACACAACAACCGGTTCCTGATCCGAGTGCACATCTACTGTAAGCCGCCCTGACTCACAATAGGGAAATATCATGGCCGAGCACTGGACTCAAAAGTCTGAAACTTACTATTGTTTATTCAATGCTACTTTGGCTTGCATCAGTAAACTGGATACCTGTGGTTCGGCCTCACTTTGTCTCCAATCAACTCGCTGCCTTGCTCTATAAAATTTGAAACAGACAACCCTTCAATCTTGGAGAAGTAATTTTTTCTCACCTCATGTCTTTTGTGAAGAAGATGGAAGCAAAGGTCCATCTTCCTTATCCAGTTTGATCTTTGGTGTGCTCAAGAATCAGGGCTTTAAGCCATACAAAGATAAAACCATGACTGAGCATGACAACACCTACTTTTTTATGATCGTTTGGCTCAGAAACATCACTATGATGATCACGGTACTCTAAATGTTTTACCGGATTTATCTGCGGTAACACCACTTGTTTCTATTCTAGCTTTATCTACTGACACAGTCTCGGCCCCTATTTATGGTTCCAGTGTTGTTTCGCAGGAGCCACCAACTCTGATTGACCGCCAACAGATTGTTATCACTCTTCAGGCTTACATTGCCCAGTTTCAAAGCTTCGTTGCTTCACAACAGGCTACTATTTCAGGATTGGAAAACCTATTAGGTGCACAGCTTCAAGAAATCACACGCCTGGAAAACATACATTCCCGGATCCTTGCTGAAACCATAGCTGCTACTACTGATACTGAGTCTGATGATGATGATTCAGTTTCGGGCACCACGTCAGCCTGTTAGTCTAATCCACTATTTGATGTTCATCACTCCTTTTTGTCACTTATTTGGCAAAAAAAAAACCCTTACTCTCATACTCCCCTTTTTTTTTTTTTTTTTTTTTTTTGGAATAAGGGGAGAAGTAAGAAAGCAGGAGTAGTAGTTAAATAGTTGATGTATTGGCTTGACTATGATTGCAGCATATGGTAATATTTTTGGTACTCTACGGTATTCTATTTGGTAATCTCTAACTAATATATTACTCTTCTGTTATGAAGTTTATGGTTATTAATTTATATCTCTCCGATATGAAGTTATTATTGGCCGTTCAGCTTTTATTTAGCTAATCTACCTTCTGTGTATTGTTTGACTTTTTGGGGAATGTTTATTCTCTTAATATTGAAGCTTCATTGGATTCTTCAACAACACAGAATTGTTTGGAACTTAATATAGTGGGTTCATGGATGGAACATGGTCCAAAAGAGCTTTTGGTAATTATTTATTTAATTCTTATCTTAGGGTATTGTCTAGTACATATACTAAGGGTCTTTAATAAAATTAATTTATTTCTTGTGTTTGCCCAAAGTATAAGATACTATAGTTTTTGCCAAATAAATTGTCAAAGGGGGAATTGTAAGTGTACAAAGTTAGTACACATTTAAAACCTATGTTGGCTAATTTATTTTATTTTAATTTAAATATATTTAAGTTAGACTAAGCTTTTTGGACCATTTCCTATCATATGATATTAATTTGAGTGACTATCAATTATTGGTTGTTTGAGAAAGGGAAATAGCAGAACATGTATTATGAGGATTTCAAAATCAAATGTGTAGCTGTGGTTCTTCGAAGAAAATGGGATGCAATTAATATGGATCAAGCTGGTGGATTAATATAAAAGGAAGGCATCCCATTGTGGAAATCTACGAATTGAGAACTGCCAAATGGGGAGAAATGAAATTCTATACTGTGTCTTCTTCTTAATCTATTTCATTACTTTGTTTTATGTGAGTTTTAACCTGAGCTGCACTGTCTGTACCTAGGTTAGGTGAAGCTTCACTTGAAGATTGTTATGGCATGCACGGTTCAGTCCTGAGTAGGTGTTAGGAAGGGTTGTGGTAGTAATGGCTGATAGCCATTTGTAGTTACTCCTGTAAAACTCCTTGGGTGAACATCCATAGTAGATTGGGCAGACGTGGGTTGCCCCGCATACGTAGGAGAAGCGCTCCAAACTACGTAACAATTTACTTGTGTACTTGATTTATTTTCTGCACTTAATTTTTCGTTATTTGTTATTGACAAATGACTTAATTAATGGACATGATTATAACTTAATATAAAATCAAGTAGAACATTAGTATTGATAAGCCTCAAAATATACTAAGTTTTCAGCAGTTTTTCTAAGGAGTTGTGCACTAATTTTGACTTAGAAGTCATGTTTTTAGAGCAAAATGTCCTAAAAGTACAACTTAGCACAGAAATACATTTCCGATTACATTTTACTTGTTTTCATGTATTTTTAGACAAAAAACGTGGCAAAAAGGACAAAAAGTTCAAGGCCAAGACGAGCACGCAAACAAGGACCGAACACACCGGGACTACGCACGAGAAGAGGGACGGAATGGGAATTATTTCCCATTCACGCCCCTCCCCACGGCGTGAGGACGCTGTGAACGGGGAATGAGAGCTGCCGAACGAAGCTTCAACACGGAGGACTTATGGCCTATTCATGCCGGCCTCACAGCGTGAGACCGTATGTGAATATGAGTGCGAATAAAAAGGGAAAATTCAGCATTTAGAAGAGACAATTTTAGATCAAGAGTTCAACATTTTCTTTTAGAGAGAAGTTTTAGATTATGGTTAGCTTTTATTTTCTTTCTAGGATTTTAGTCTAAGATCTAGATGTTTTGCAAGGAAGCTTGAAGATTTGGAGATCTTGTAGCTTGGATCTTCGTCTTCTATAAACATTGGAAGGGATCTAGTTTCATATTGGGTGAAATCTTATCTTTGACCTTTATCATTTAAATCTTGTTCATCCTTTTTATAGTTGCTGGATCTTGCTTATTATCATGTTTGTCTAAAGTTCTAGGGGAAAGGATTGTTGTTTAGATTGCGTTTGATTGATTTGTATTGTATTTGTGATTCATGATTGTTGTTGGCTTATTTGTCTTGTTGGAAGTGAGTTTCGTGTAGATTAGTGTGTAAGGTGCGCAACTCGCCCATTAGATCTCGGATGAGTGCATTGGCAAGAGATTGTGATGCACTCTAGCTTTACCACTTGCATTTCCCGCCCTCAGATCTGAGAGGATAAGGTCCGAAAGGGGATGTAGGTGAGATGTTCGTTGTAATGCCTCTTAGAGAACAAGAGTTCCTTCGAGTGACGTTTAGACCGGATCGGCTACGCATTAGTATTGCTATCCCTCGTGATTAGAGTTTTAACACGTCTGTATCACTTAACCTTCGGTATGGCCAACCATGCAATGCAATCGAAGCACAATCTGAGCCTGTTTTCCTTTCATTTATTTTACCTTTCTTATTTCTCTTTCACGTTGCTCTCTTATTCTACCACAATCTGTTAATGCAATCCCTTAACCAAGAACCTCGAGCTCAAATATCCTTACCATAACACTCTCTCAACACTTCCAAGTTATCACTCCTTGAGTACGACACTCGGGGTGGTTCTCCACTACTGGAAATTATGAAATTTTCGACCACCTGAAAGTGATCTTAAATCAAGTCGAAAGTCTTGTTCTGACCACTTTTGGTATCCGGAAAAACCTTTGTTGCTATTTCCGACCACTTTTTGGTATCAACTTGATTTAAGATCACTTTCAGGTGGTCGGAAATTCTATAATTTTCAGTAGTGCTCACTCACCCCGTTTTAACTCTTCACATCTATCATCCTTACACACCCCATCACATCTAATCTTTTGACGACGTTCCCTAAATGAGAACCGTAAAAAAGCATCCGGTCAAGTATCGTCTTGCATTCAAGATTCACGGGTGTCAATGGACACCACTCAATAATTGAATGAATAGTTGAATGACCAATAATTATTGCACACAAAACACAGTCATAAACAGAGAGAGAGAGAGCCACGGGTGTCAATGGACACCACTCAATAATTGAATGAATAGTTGAATGACCAATAATAATTGCACACAAAACACAGTCATAAACAGAGAGAGAGAGAGAGAGAGAGAGAGAGAGAGTAACAAGTTTTGGTATTGGCTATGGCTTGGTTTGCTGTAACTTCACTGATGCGAACAATAGAGCTTGAGTTCCTGCAACCTTATCCACGTCTTGTTCTTGACCACACAGAGACAGAAGCAGTGGAAGCTCTTCATCGAAGGCTTGCTCAGTTGCTAGCCTTTCTTGATAATCATTCTGAGAATCAATTGAATGATGATGATGAGACGACCAAAGAGTGGGAAGGGAGAATTAAAGAGGCTGCACTAAGAATAGAACACGAAATTGAATCAGAAATAATTGATATTTGTGGCAGCAGAGGGGGCCATGTTAGATTCATTACAATAATCTTGCAACGTGCAATGGAACGCACCGGAGAGTTTATGAAGTTGGTGAAGAACAAACAGCCGTCGATGAAAGATTTGCAAATAAAAGATGATGAGATTCCTTCTTCGTCCAGTGAAAAGATTGAGCATCATCATCATTCTGCTGGTTCAAACCTTCAGAGCACAACAATGGTAGGTCGTGATGCCGAAGTGAATCTGATAATGGAGCTACTTCTTCAAGATTCACGGAGAGAAAGAGTGGTTGTGCCCATTGTTGGCATGGGAGGTATAGGCAAGACAAAGCTTGCTCAAACATTGTATGAACATCCATCAGTTTCATCTCATTTTGACGTTGTTGCGTGGACAACTGTGTCTGCACAATCTGACATGCGACAGATGCTTCATCAGCTCTTGTCTATAATCACCCAAGAAAAGAATGTCATCTATAAAAGCAACGAAGAACTAGCAGACCTATTACGTAGACGCTTAATGGGTCGGAGGTATCTCATTGTTGTAGATGACTTGTGGAGCACGGACTCCTGGGAGGAAATCCAAAGGTGCTTCCCAGAAGATAGTAATGGAAGTCGAATATTGGTGACCACTCGACTTCAAGAAGTTGCCATTTCTACAGGAGGATCACATAATGATTCGGTAAACTTGCCTTTCCTAAATCCAAATGAAAGTTGGGAATTATTTAATTTGAGGATTCTCAATTATAGAAGCTTAAGCATGCCGCCTATGAAACTTGAAGGGATATGGAGACACATTGTTGAGTATTGTAAAGGATTGCCGCTTGCAATTGTGATAGTTGCAGGACTTGTACAAGCCATCAATGAATCACTATGGGAATCTCAATCAAAGGATATGGAGAAAATATTATGTGCAACTGTGACCAACAGCCTTGTTGATAGTTTTTCAGAGATTCTCAGGTTGAGTTACAACCACTTACCAAATGTCTTGAGAGTCTGTTTCTTATATCTGGGAGTTTTCCGTGAAGATAGTGCAATCCCAATGAAAAAGCTTATTAGATTATGGATAGCGGAAGGGTTTGTGAAGGTAGAAGAAAATCAAAGGAGCTTAGAAGAAGTTGGTGAGGATTACTTAAAGGATCTTGTATCTAGGAGTTTAGTTTTGATTGACAGTTTGAGCTTAGATGGAAAGATTAAGTCATGTAAGGTGCACAACATCATACATGTCTTTTGTAGGAATGAAGCAACTAAGGAGGGCCTCTTACATGTTGCAAGTAGATATTCATCTGTAACTGTAAGGACGACTCAACGTTGGTTAATTTTAGAATCAATGTATCCTAAACTTGATGTGCACACTGGCTTCAACAGGTGTTGTTCCCTCTTTTTCTTCCATGATGATGGTCATATGACTCCTCAAGTTTATCAACTTTCTGCAACCCCTCATTTCAGGAGATTGAGAGTACTAGATTTAGGTTCTCTCCACTTCATTAACAGTATCCCTTCATATGTTGGGGATCTATTTCTTTTGAGATACCTAGCTCTGTGCGCATCCAAGATTCTTAGCAAATTACCAGTGTTAAAGGATTGGAATTTACAAACTCTTTTGCTTTTAGGAAAAGGGGTTGGCAATGGATTTATGCATGAAATTTGGGATCGGTTGCGAAAGTTGAGACATCTCCAAGTTAGCACAACAATTGTGTTGGGTACTCCAACTGCGGTTCATCAATACATACAGACACTTCAATGGTTGCGCCCATTCCAATGTACAGAGCAGGTGTTTTTAAGGATTCCGAATGTAAAAGTGATGGGAATTTTCATGGGGAAATTTGGAGAGCCCAATTGTTTGGATAATTTGAGGTATTTACATCAAGTTGAGGAACTAAAAATTGAAAGCAGACACTTTTATCCTGTTTTACTTCCAGTTGTGGATGCTTTTCCAGTACACCTCAAAAAGTTGAAACTGAAGGGAACTTTGGTGCCATGGGATGCTATGACTACAGTTATTGGTATGTTGCCTAACCTCCAGGTGCTTAAACTTATAAATGGAGCTTGCCAAGGACAACATTGGGAACTAACTGGAGGTAGTTTTGGTCAGTTAAAATCATTGCTTATTTACGGATCAAATTTGAGGCGCTGGGAAGCCACTGGTGATAATGATTTCTCTGTCCTTGAGCGCCTAATTCTTAAAGAATGTTATGAATTGGAAGCAATCCCTTCTAGTTTCAGAGATATACTCACTCTACAGTTGATTGAGTTATCTCATTGTTATTCTGGGCTTGTCAACTCTGCCAAACAAATACAAGAAGAGCAAAGAGATTACGGAAATGATGAACTTGTTGTTCGTGCCTACAATATTTGGGTATCTATATATAAAGCTCACTCAACCTTAATTTTGTATGCTATTTTAATTCTTATTTCATTCCCATCTTTAATCTTTAATTAATATATTCTTGTATCTAACTAAATTTCAGAGAATTGCTGAAGAGAAACTTGAAGATGAACTTAAAGATCAGAGTAACTAGAAGGAAGTGAAGGGGATTTTGAGGAATAATGATCTCAAAACTGTGGATTCATCACAGTCCTAAGTTTATGTTGGCTTCTACCTCTTGAATTCTTGTAGAGTTGGAAAGAAATTTGTAGAGAATAAGTGTAATGGTTGGGAAATTTCTACCCATGCATGCATGTTTAGGTTGGCTGGTTGAATTGCCGCAAATTATGCTGTGCAACCGAATGCACCTTGCAAGGTGCATACGGTTGCAAAACGGCGCCGTTTTGGTTAAAAAAACGCGCGTCCCAATTAAAGAAGAAATCAGGTTCGATTCCTGGCAATAGCATTTTTATATATCCAGAAATTCATAACTATATAACCACAATTTCATAACTATATATCCACAATTTCATAACTATATATCCACAGTGAATGAATGAAGTAAAAATCCACAATGAATGAATGAATGAAGTAAAAATCCACAATGAATGAACTAAATATCCACAATATATGATTGAACTAAATATCCACAATGAATGAACTAAATATCCATAAATTCATAACTATATAACCACAATTTCATAACTATATATCCACAATTTCATAACTATATATCCACAGTGAATGAATGAAGTAAAAATCCAAAATGAATGAAGTAAAAATCCACAATGAATGAATGAATGAAGTAAAAATCCACAATGAATGAACTAAATATCTACAATATATGATTGAACTAAATATCCACAACGAATGAACTAAATATCCATAAATTCATAACTATATAACCACAATTTCATAACTATATATCCACAATTTCATAACTATATATCCACAATAATGCGATTGCTGAGAGTCGAACCTGATTTTTTTTTTTAAAGTGGGACGCGCGTTTTTAATCAAAACGACGTCGTTTTGAACCGTATGCACCATGCGCATGGTACATTCGGTTGCACAGCATAACTATTGTTGAATTGCAATAAGATGAAATGCATGTGATTTGACAGATGAGATTACAGGTTATATTGTAAGTTTAGGCTATTAGTGTGTACTGGGCAGGTTTACGTTCTTAAGCAGCTTCATTATTGATAATTAAAAATAATGTGTTCATTACAGACTTTTTTTTTTTTTTTTTTTTTTTTTGCTTTTGAAGCAGTGGACAGCTAGCTACTGACAATATATATATATATATATATACTAATAAGAGCCCAAGAGAGTTAGTCCTATAATGGGTAGAAAAAATGGCGGTCAAATTTTATAATCAAATGAATGGCTCAGATTGATCAGATTTTAATTTTTACTTAAGATTTCCTAATTTATCCTTAATGAATATGATTTTTCATTAACTTTTCCGTTAAATATTATCTTTTCCGTTAATTTCTGTTAGTTCACCGTTAACTTACTCATTGATTTCAATTTCAATAAGAAAAATCTTAGGTTCGAACCACATTCCAATCAAAGTTGGCATAGTACTCTATTTTACTCTTATTAAATTAAATAATAATTTAGTAGCTACAACAAAAAATAATACATATGTATTTCTTTAATTTAGAATTGTCTCTACAATGTCTTTATTCAAAAAAAATTATTCATTCTCAATAAATTAAATAATAGAAATAATTTCATTATTTTATATTGTATTTATTTTTCTCCAATATAAAAATTCTTTACATTCAAATTCAATTGATTATATTCGCTGCATTTTCCCTACAATGTCTTTATTAAAAAAAATTATTCATTATCAATAAATTAATTAAGAGATATAATTTTATTAGTTATATTGTCTTTATATTTCTCCAATGTAAAAATTCTTTACATTCAAATTCATCAATTGATTATATTCACTACATTGTCTATTATCTTTTTTTGTGCACTATTTTTTAATTAAATCTCAAAGTTATAATACAAAATAATTCTATATATTTATTTACCAAGTATTTTATTAATACCATGAAAAAATTAAAAAATTTAAATTAATAAAACCAATTAACTACTTGAGAGATTTGTTGACAAAGAGAGTATTAAATTCACACAACAAATTTAAGTGAGAAACTACATTGCAATGTCCTTGTTTGACAATCAGCAGTTAGCAGTTAGCGTTAGCGGATTTGACCAGTGAATTATATCAACGGTTGGTAAAAAGATATTTGAAAAAATTAGCTGTTTAAATTAACATTTAAAATGACCTAAGGGTATAATAATAATATATATATATATATATATATATATATATATATATATATATATATATATATATATATATATATATATGTATATATATATATAATAATTGTTTTAATAATAATTTTTTTTAAAATATAGATGTGTTTTGGGGAAATCATTCTCAAAAACGTCAAGTGAAAATATTGTAAATTGCAATATTTGTATTTTCCGTGGTTTGGAATAAATTGTTGCTTCAAACTGTTGAATAACAAAACACTTTCTTTAGCATTTTGATCTTTGGGTTACATCATATTTATCAATCGTCCAATATCTTTGGGTTACATTATAATTAAAAAATTTAAATTTTTACCACATCTAAATTTCTTAAATTAGGAATTTCTTAGCTTTATCGATAATAATTTATTCAACAATAATGGTTGAACTAAATGAACACTGAGCAAAACACCTAAAGGACTGGTACCTTTGATTCATTCATTGATCTTGTATATATGTGCATTCATTAAATATATTAGAACCCTTTGCAACAAAAATACTTGGTTACTATTTAAAAAAAGTTTAGTAACAATTATAATGAATCTCCTATATTACATTGTATTCATATACTATGAATTACATATTTAAATACGCAAATTAGACATTAAATTACTTATGTTGAACTTCTCATATATAATCTTGCATTTATATACTTTCAAATATTTATTTAATTATAAACATTGGGTAGAAAAAATGACCGTCAAATTATTAAATCAAATGAATAGTTTAGATTGTTCAAATTTTAATTTTTCCTTGAGATTTATTAATTTATCCTTAATTATATGATTATCCGATCCGTTAACATTTCCATTAAGTACCGCTAATTCACCGTTAGTCTAATTCGAATACTAAAGTCTAATATAGAATTATAACTACAACATTAATCTAATTTTAATATTAAAGTCTTAATAGAACTCTAACCACGAATCCTACTGCCGGAATCTCCTCAAACAATATTAGTATATATTTAATATTTTATGCTTTAATTTTTATTTGCCCTCCCTTATGTCCCGTATTTGGTTTCAACCATATCCATACAATTATTTTATTGACAATTATAATCAATCTTGACTATATTATCTTGCATTTGTAAACTTAGAATTACCAATTTAAATACACAAATTCAACATTCAATTATCTATGCATGAACAATTCTAATATAATCTTGCCTTGATATACTTTAAAATACTTATTTAAGAAAAAATATTGGGCATTGTCTCAATCGCGCAATGCGCGTAAAAAACTAGTATATATATATAATGCTTTCCCTATCATATCCTAGATCAGAGCGACTTATCATTAAACATTATTGTATTCATTTTGCAATTATTTGAGTTGTTTGTTTTTGCCTTTTTGGAGACCGGTCTGGACAATTCTAATATTGTGGTCTAGGGTCTACCATACGTATTGTAGACTTTAATTCAAATGATGTATATGCAATTAACACATTATTATGTGTTGGTCCCGATAGATTGTATGGTGAGTCTAGAGGGGGGGGGGGGGTGAATAGACTCTCGTTTTTCTTTAAATTCTTTAATAGAAAAACCTTGACAACACTTTTGAGAAGGATAAGCACAGCGGAAAGATTATTAAGAGAGGGTTGCACGAGTTTGATGAGAAGATGAGATAAGTGATGAAAATGATGATATGCAAGCAGTAAACTAAAGCAGTAAGTAAAGAGAGGAGCGAGACGAGATTTTATAGTGGTTCGGCCAAACTTTGCCTACTTCCACTCTTCTTCCACAACTGCTGGAAGGATTGCACTATCACTTCTTTAGTACAAATACACAAAGACTTCCTTGATCACTAAGCCGGACAGCCTTTGAAGGTTTTTCAACTCCGAGAGTTTACTCCGCCTCTATCAACTTCTTCTTCTAAGTTGAGGTTGGTGAGAAAGAATTTCTTGATTCCTCCAACTGTGAAGTCTTGTAGGTGTGGGATGATTGCTTCAAATGTGCAAGACTTCTTACAAGATGTAGGGCAGTGATGGATGATCTACTTCAAATGCCTTAACACCTTAACTAGCTGGTTCACAAAAAGCTTTGAGATTTGTTCACTTTTAAGAGCTTTTTGCAAGAGAGTGAGTAGAGTGATAAAATGAACCAGCACCTTCTTAGTTGATGAAGGTTGGTTTATATAGGTGATGAAAATTCATCCGTTGGAGGGAAATGAATTTTTAAACCTTTTATCTGTTGGACAAGGACCATGGAGCCTCATGCATTTAATGCTTCATTAATGGGTTTGTACTATGTAGCCGTTGAAGGTATGGAGGATCTGATGACTTTTGTCTTTTAGCTCCAGAGATAGTACAACTTCATTAAATGCTCTTCGGGTAGCGTGTCCCATGAGTTGAGGTCCTTATTGTCCTAGGATGTAGTCACATCAGACAGGTAGAACATTCTTCTTGTTGATGAGAAGAAGAATACTTGTTGAAAAGAACTGTCTTCTTAATGACAACTCCTTCTTTCGTTGCTGTGGAGTCTTCTTTCGTCTTGATCAGCTTATCTTCTATTCATAACTCCTTTCGTGTGTTTGTTCTAGCTTAACACGAATTACATATGAGTTATGGCAACTTTCGTCTAGAACGAAAGTAGCGATACAATAAAAACGAAAGAGTTAGGGGTCTACTTTCTACATTACATTGGTATCATCAAAATTCTAATACATGGTTCCTAACAATTTCCCCCTTTTTGATGATGCCAAAACCTATACTCTTCTTATAAGGCTGAAAAGTGCTCCTTAAGGATAATTCTATTAAAAACACAGCCATTATCGAGAGTTTACAAGTATTTTCTACGAAGAAGCAGCAGAAATAAAGACAAGGACTTTTTAATTCAGACAAGTGACACGAGATGTGTGACAATGAGAGTTTCATAGATATTCAGATAAAGTCATTACAAAAACTCTGTCAAAATAAATCAAAGTAAAGGATAACTTACATTTCTAAAAGATTCAACTTTTGCTGAGCTTCCTTCTTTCTTTCTTGATTGTCCTTCTCTTCCTGTCTTCTT